CCATCTACTTCTGGCAAGACCAGCCTAGGAAGAAGGGAGATGAAGGGACTTCCCTGGCGGTGCAGTGGTTAAGACTGTGAGCCTCCACTGAAGGGAGGATTCAATTCCTCCTGGGGGATCTAAGTTTGCATGAAAAAAAAAAAAAAAAAGAAGGGCGATGACCCCAAGGAAAAGGAAAACCTAAGCCACGTTTGATTACAAAATGTAGTCACTTCTCTCCTACCAGAAACCCTACTGGAAAAAGTAGCTGGTAATTTATTTTGAGGGCTGGAATTGAATTGGGAGGGAAAGCTGTTATGAGGTGGGGAAGGATCTGATCTGTTTAGCAACCTATTAGGCTCATATGATTAGTGTAGGATCGGGGTCCTGAACCTGTGTGTGATTTGTGGAAACCCAGATCTGGAGATGAAATACAAACAAAAATGTAAAAAGTCATTTTGTAGAATGGGGGAACAGAAAAGCATCTTATACAGAACTTGTTTTGCTCATATAAATAAAATGTTTGGTATATTCACGTGAAACACAGAGGAGTCAGGTCACAGAGTCTCAGTAGCCAAGGGTCGTCAGAAGCAGAGAAGCCGATGCACTCAGTGTCCTTTCCTGCTGAAGCAGAACACTGCCTTATACAAGAGGTCCCCTCCACCTCTGATCACACACATCTGTGACCTGCAGGTTTTACTTGTCAGCAGTGGTTCACTCCCTTCCAAAGTTTTAAAAAATATTGAGGCCTAAAACAGAAAAATTTTCAAGTGTCTCAGATAATTCTAACATGCAAATGAGGTTAAAAAACCAATGTTGTAAAACACTGGGTCAGTGATTCCCAAACCTAGCTTTACATGATAATCATCTGGATAGCTCTTCTGAACTCCCTACGAATAGAGGAGATCACAATCAGCTATGACTTAGTGTTCAGTTAGTTACAAGGATAAAAACACAATGTGAGAAAAAAGAAAAAAAACATGACGTGAGGCTCTGTTTAACCATCTTAATGGTCACAAATCTTGGCTATCTTTCAGGAAAGCACACTTTCGGCCTCTTAGTGTATTAGTGTCACCAATTTACCCTGAATCTTCAGACCTGCTCGCCCTCTCTGAGCCTCCTGATCACTTGGGGAGGAAGATACCTAACTTGTTCCTAATCTCAGCAGAGACGTGGTATTTTTGGGTCTTTCCCCTTCCAGACTGGAAACAGAAAGAGTCACCATCAGGGTCTATGAGGGCATGAGCACTTTTGGTTCTTACTTGTGACTTGTATTGATTTTTTGTGTCTGTATGATTCAGAGTGAAACTGGGAAGAGAAGTCAAGCATGCTTTGATGAAAGACTGTGGTTAAAGGGGAAAACAAGTTAAGAAGTTAATAAGCTTTTTGTGTATGCCTTTTGTATGGCAAAGTACTCTGTAAACTACAAAACGTTATGTAACTAATATTCAATCCTGTAGAAATGAGACAATAAATGCAAGGACTTACGCACAAGAGCTGCCCTTAAGTGCTTTCACCAGGTACAGCATTTACAATAAATACTTGCATGCTGAGAGTAGGATGGAGATAGACCCAGAAATCAAGAGAAGAGACTCAAACCCTATCTTAAATTTGCTGTTTGCTGGTCACTCTAAGGCACACCCCCAAATCTGTCAGCTCTGCTTCTTCACCTAAAAATGAGACTATCTACCCCTTTCTCAGACTCTCCCACAGATTTGGGTGGGGTTACATGTGTTGTAAGACATGGAATGAACATGGCAGAACAAACGGAACCTGGATTTAGGACTTGGGTCTGAACACAGGCTTGTTACTTAGTCTTGGTTAAATGACCTCTCTCAGATAGAGGGGACAAACAGCTCTTTCAGTTTAACAGGGATTAAAGTAATGATCTCTGTGAAAACACGATATATAAGTGCCAGGAATTATGACTCTACACAAGAAGGTACACAAGGAATCAGGTTCTATATAAATACAAGGCAATATTATTACATGACTCTTCCTATTGCATAGTTGTAGAAACTGTTTTTCCAGGAATAAAGGCTCAAATGCTAACAAAGGTATCTTACCTTAGCCAGTTTCTTCCTCCTCCTAAAAGTTCTCATATGCCAATACTTCTGATTTTCAAAAAAAAACCAAATTAAGACCTTAGGAATCCCACTCTGCCCCCTCCCTCTCTGTTCATTTTCCTCTTGGGTCCTCTCAGAAGTACAAGGGCTCCATTATTTCTTCTAATGACCAGATCATTTGGAAAGTGACGATGCCCAAGCTGAGCCCTCTGGCTGGCCTGGGTGGAAGAGAGCAAAGTGGGCATGCCTCCAGCTTTATTCTGTGACTCCTGTATCTGGGAAGGGGTCTGTTAGCAGTGTCTCACTCAAATGGAATGCAGTGGTAACCAGGGTTGTTATTAGAAGACTTGTTGATCTTTTCAAAGGAACATAGCCCAGCAGTGTCGGTGGCTCTGCTGTGCAGTCTCCATCCGTCCTCAAGTAACTGGCCATGCAGGCTGGGAAATGATCAGAAGAGACTCATTAGCAGTCCCCAGAACTTTACCAATCCAACTGTCATGAGGTGCAGACCATGAGGGAAACAACCAGTTCCTACTTCCACCCATTTAAGGAGTGGCAGACAGTTGGATATTTTTTAATTTTCAAAAAAAATTTTTACCCACAGAATGGAAAACTTATCATGTTCATAGGTGAGAGTTGTTGGTGAATTGCTACCCCAAGTGGTTTCCTTCATGAGTCACTGCTTAAACCCAAAATACTAGAACACAAGGTTTAAAGCTCTCGAATTCCATCAGTCAGACACACCAATAACCTGCATGTTGCCCAGGAAAATTAAGTTTTCAAAAACAAAATTAAGTGAAAAATCCTTTTCCCCAGAAGGATCTTTATCACGGAGCTCTGTATGACCCATTTCTAAGAAGGCCACATCCCACTTCAGACAATATGACCACTTGGAGTACCGTTAAAAACAAAATCCTTGCCTTGAGGCCTTTGTTTTCATTTTCTTTAAACTAGCCTCTGAAATGTCTGCCTTGTGTTTTGCGCTGCACTCCTGAAAACTGTTGCTTTTTTTCTTTTTTTTGGCCACAGAGCATATGGAACTTCCCNTTTATTTATTTTTGGCTATGCTAGGTCTTTGTTCCTGTTTGGGCTTTTCTCTAGTTGTGACAAGCAGGGGCTACGCTCCAGTTGTGATGCTCAGGTTTCTCAGTGCCATAGCTTGTCTTGTTTCGGAGCATGGGCTCTAGGGTGCCCAGGCTCAGTAGCTGCGGCTCCCAGGATCTAGAGCACAGGCTCAATAGTTACAGTGCATATGGCCTTAGCTGCTCCGTGGCATCTGAGATCTTTCCGGATCAGAGATCGAACCTGTGTCTCCTGCACTGGCAGGCAGATTCTTTGCCAGTGAGCCACCATGGAAGCCCCATCTTCTGAATTTTTCCAGATATACAAAGGAAATAAAAACAAGTTATACCGAAAAGCTTAAAAACTTGTTTTAAATATATAAACTTTAAGTACTTCCCTGGCAGTCCAGGGGTTAAGACTCTGCACTTCTAATGCAGGGGGTGAGTGTTTGATCCCTGGTCAGGGAACTAAGATCCCACATGCTGTGTGCTATGGTTAAAAAATTTACAAAAATTTTTTTTTACATTTTAATGTATAAACCTTAATAAATTCAATATTAATGAATACACACCAAACTGTAAATAAAACTCTCAGACATTAGCAACAAAATTTCCAAAGTACTTTCATGTATACTATACAACTTTATTATCAAGATGAAGGTATCTCCCTTCACGTGTATGGGCGCTAAAAAAGTGCAGGGCTGTTCTCACTCACTGCTATACGTGAGCTGGGCACACAGGAAGCAGGTCCTCAACAAATCTTGTATTTACAGAATGAACAGACCCCAGCTGACAGAACAGAAAATGGAGGTTCAGAAAAAGAATGGACTTGCTCAAGGTCAGAGAGTTCTCAGAGATAGGGAAGGAACTACACTGGGGTTCCCCTCTCAACTGCTAGAGGTCAGTGTTCTCGCCATTACCTGTAATGACAGAAATGGCTGGCAGAAAGGTGAGTACCAGCTGGGAAAAGCAGGGAAAGAAAACAGTGGTCTAGTCTTCCCTGGTAGTCCAGTGGTTAAGAAACAGTCTTCCAATGCAAAGGATACAAGTTCAATCCCTGGTTGGGGAACTAAGATCCCACATGCCACAGGGCAATTAAGACTGTGCACCACAACTAGAGAGCCCAAATGCTGCAACTAGAGAAGCCCTCGAGGCAACCACTAAACCCATGCTCTGCAACAAGAAAAGCCCCTGCACCACAATGAGAAGCTGGTGCACCACGACTAGTGAAAGCCCACAGCCCACTTGCTACAACAAAGACCCAGCACAGCCAAAAAAAGAAAACTAGAAAACATTGGCCATTCCTAGTAGAAGGGTGCAGCTGTTGGGAGTTCAGACCATGAATGTCTGATAAAGCAGGGAAACAGAAAAGAAGTGATATACAGGGGAATGTGCCAGAAGGACTGGAACAGAAAGCAAAAGATGGGAAACAGAAGTTACTGAGAGTATGCGGAATTAAAGAGGACACAGGAATATGAAAGGTGGCCATCCTAAACTTCCCTACAACACTGGTTTAAGAAAGGGACTTGGTTTGCAAATGCTTGAGGAACTGGCTAGGGAGGAGAGAGGGTTCAGAATATTCAGGCACAGCCCTGGCCAGGAAGACTCATGGCATGTCAGTGCCAGAGGGGCCTTGGCAGGCATGCAGTGACTGCTTCCACAACACAGGACTTATGGTGACCACACACCTGACCTAGTTACACGTCCCTACTTCACAAGCTTCCACCACTGCTAGCCAGGCATATCCTGAGTCCCAGCTTGGAGAACCAGGTGGTAAGTCAGCCATCATGACTGACTTTGGACATCATCATGGCTGACACAAATGTTCAAAATTCTCTAGAAAATCCACAAAGACCTATGAAAACAGAACACCTCAAAAAATCACCACAAAAGGTGACCCTTCTTATCTTAGTTAGCTTCTCTTGTAGGCTCACCAAGCCACAACAAAAACAAAGCACAGGGAGAGGACATGTGTCTACATGTGGGCACAGATATGAAACTTGCTGAACAATAAATGCGATCAAAAGTTAAATTTGGAGAACTTCCCTGGTGGCTCAGTGGTAAAGAATCTGCCGGCCAAGTAGGAGACACATGTTTGATCCCCTGATCCGGGAAGATCCCATTTGCCGAGGACCAACTAAGCCTATGTGCCACAACTACTGAGTCAGTACTCTAGAGCCCAGGAACCACAACTATTGAAGCCCACGCTCCCTAAAGTCTGTGACCTGCAATAGAGAAGCCAATGCCTTTGCAGCAATGAAGACCCAGCACAGCCAAAAATAAATAAATAGGTAAAATTATTTCTTTAAAAAAAGCTAAAGTTGGAGTTTACCTGTGTTTGCCTGATGTCTTGAAACTGTGTGCAAAACAAGCCATTTCCTGTGACAAATGCACAGGCATCTTTCCGTATTCCTCTGCCCAGCTCTCCCTGACACCTTCAACACCTCAGTACTCTGTTGCTCAGGCTAGGAGACCAGACCAGCAGCCTCTGAAAAGATTTTGAGAAACCTCAATAGTCAAGATTCTGAATCAGAGAATTGACCTCACCTAGACATCCCATGTTCCCATGAGTGTCCAGTAGCTCGCTCTTGGCCAGAGTCTCTGGTAATGAAGAGTTGCCTGGGGTTGAAGCAGCAGGTGCCTCTTGTGTTGGTTTCAGGACTACAGCCATGTCCCAGAACACATTCTGCCCCTAGAAACAAGCAGGCACAGGTGGGTTTATAAGGAGACTGTCGGTGGAAGGTGATATGATCATAACTTTGAGGATGAGAACATAAGCACCTATTCTTGGAGGCCATAAAAAAGAAAAAAAGAAAAACACCAACTATTAAAAAAAAAAAGGGGAAAGGAAGCCAGAGAGTCTTCCATAATCCCCAAGGTGAGTTAGGCAGAGAAGCAAGCCTGCTATCTCTTCCCCTATCACTTTGATTTCATCTCACTGCCCAAACCTAACTTGTCAGTGAGTGCATGACAAGACAAGAAAGCACATGGGGAGATTTTTCACAGTAGATCTTTCTAGATCTAAAGATCAAAGAAGCAAGGTTCTGGTCATATTATTACAGAGAGGCTTTGGGATACCTCTGCCCTCATAGGGCTAGTCATGGTGAGGTGTAGGTTTGAAAACATACAGCCTCACGACTCAAATCGTGGTCTGTGGACAAGCAGAATCACCATCACTGGGAGCGTGTGAAAACTGCAGTCTCTGATCAATACCCCAGATCTCCTGAATCAGAATCTGCATTTTGACAAGACCCCATATCCCCTGACCCCAACCCCTGGTGATTCTTAGGCATATTAATTTGAGAAGTACAAGTAAGAGTTATCAAATCATGCCTGGACTCACCGGAAGAGTGGTTTTGTTTGTTTTTTAAATACAGAGATCTGGGGCCCACCTCCCCAGAGAATCTGATTTAACTTACATGAGATATGACATAGGTATCATGATTTTATAAAAAGCTCCCCAGGTAATTGCAAACTATAGCACAGTTTGAGAAGCACTTGTTTATAGAAAGTACTGAATGTCAACATCAATAGAATAGTATGTTTCAATTAAATTGCAAAAGACTAAAGGCCAGAGCCCTCGCCAGGAAACAAGACTCTAGGTGTGGAAGCGGAGGGACAGGGTCCCTCCTGAAATCATGTGCAATCTTTAGGACCATCCTCCCTCCCTTCTCCCTGGCCACTGCTTACCTTTTCCTCCTGTTCTGACACAGGGAGGCATGTCTGAGGCGCCTCCCCAGGAGCCCAGACTTTGATGTTTTCAGAGTGCACTTGTTGGCTGGATGCCTGGCCCGCAAAGCCTTCCTCCTCTTCCTCTTTTTTCACTGTCACTGGGCCCCAGTGGGCCAGGGCCACAGCCTCTCTCAACTCTGCAGTCATCGTCTCTGCTCAGCAGAATTCCTACGGCTGGGGGCTGCCCAGCAGAAGTCAAGCCCCATCTAATCTTTAAGTTTCAAAAGCTTCTTCCTGAGTTTCCTCCCAGGGACATGATGAGTAGCATCTACTGGGAAATCAGAAAACACTGTTAGTAGAGCAGAGGTTTGCCTGAATGCCACTAAGACCACAGGTAACCAGTGTGCAGGCAGCAGCCACTACAGCACAGGGTCTGCTCTGTTCCTCAACAGGATGGAAGGAGTTGGACTGTAAATAAGCAATTTACCCCTACAATGATCACATTACAAACACTTATGTAATGTTTATTGATTTCCCCTGATTATACAGTTAACATAATTATAAAAACTTTAAAAATTCAGAAAATGATTTAAAACAATTACCCCTAGCTCATCTCCAGAGAGATAATCACTGTATACTGAAGAATTTAAGGTACTTACTTTAAGGGAAAACCTCCAACGATACTGACAATTATGACTTGAACTTTCTAATTTAGGGGATGCATATTTTCACAATTATCAACATGGTTTTTTTTAAGAAGGGTCATTACAATGCAAAGTTTTTTGTTTTGTTTGTTTGTTTTAAGCAAGAACAATAGTATGAACAAAAGACTCTCAAGAAAAAGACTGGCAGTCTAGACACCAACTGTGCTTCCTAGGTAGCACTAGTGGTAAAGAACCCGCCTGGCAATGCAGGAGACATAAAAGATGCAGGTTCAATCCCTGGGTCAGGAAGATGCCCTGGAGGAGGGGATGACAATCCACTCTAGTATTCTTGCCTGGAGAATCCCATGGACAGAGGAGCCTGGTGGGCTACAGTCCATGGTGTCGTAAAGAGTTGGACATAACTGAAGCAACTTAGCACTAGACACCAACATGCTAGGAGAGATTATCTCTGGGTGATGTAATCACAGGTGGTTTTAAGGTCCTCTTCCTTTGATTTTTATATTTTTCTATTTCTTTCAACTTTTCTGTGAGACGAAGCAGCACTCTTAAGATGGCAGATGTTTCAATGTTAAGTACATACAATGTCACCTCCTTCTGGCACGGTACTCTAAATATTATAACATACATAATTTAAATACAGTATTATGTATTATATAATACCTAAAATTTACTAAACCAGCCCCTATTTATTAATCATTGCTTTAGTAAAGAACCTTGTTTCCAGTTTATTTTCTTAAAATAATTCTTGATTCTTTTCACGCAAATAGTTTTTTCTGCTGTTGAATTATTTCTTTAGAAGAGGGATTACTAACCAAAGGATTTTATAGGTGACATATATTGTCAAACTGCTTTCTAAAAGGACTGAAACAAATCATATCACCATGAACTAACAGTTCCCCAGTATCACAGCCAAGCCAACAGATTTTTTTGTTCTTAATCTGTGAGTAAAATAATCTACCATTATAGCTGATTATGGAAAAACTGAAATCTTCCTATTTCCCTTTACACGTGTTAGGGGGAAAGTGCTAAATTTCATTAAGTTCTCTTTTGCTACTATTGAAGTGATCATATACTTTATTCTGCATTAACTTACTGGCAACTTACTCCATACACTGAATCTCTTGAGCAGTGCAATATTTCAGTCCTGCAACGAAACTTAATTCTAAAGAATTCTTCTTTCCGTGACTAGTTGAATTTTATCAGGGAGGAAGGTCCTTAATACTCGTTTCACCCGCGTATACACAAGATTGCCTACTTTGGATATTGTCATCAGACTGCTGATACTCTAACTGGCCTCCAGCCCTAGACAGCACAGTCTCCTATCATGGGCTTCCTTTCAACGTCCTTTCCCTATTTCCAACCGTGGCAACCCATCTCCTCCACCTCCAGCAGCCACACAGCCCAGTTCCTGGGATAAGCCGGGCCCCTGGGGCGGTTGGTGTCCAACCTACAACGGAGCTAGGCCCCCGGTAGGTAGGCAACAGCGGGTTTCCGAAGTGGCGGGGCGCGGAGCCGCCCCGGGACAGCCACAGTGCTGGGATCCCTGAAGGGAGGACGAGGCGGGCATACCCTTGGAATGGACCCTCCCTCGCCCCCGACGTTCGCGCCCAGGCCACGCCACCCCCGCTCACCGTGCGCGGAGCAGAAGCACGGCCGGAGCTTGAGAGCTCTGGAGCAGAAAGCGGCTGGCCTGGACCCCGGCGCCTACCGGCACGAGAACAATGACCGGACAGGAAGTGCCTGGGGATGGGCTTCCGGCTCCCCAAGTCGCCAGACCAGCCTCTCTAGGAATCTTGGAGGTACTGTCTTCTCGTTGGGTGTCCAATTTCGCTACCGATCTGGGATGAAAGAACAAGCTTAGAGGAAGAGTGCAGGTGGCCTGGGGACCCTGAACCTCAGGGCAAGGGGCATTCCTATGCCTGGCAAGAGCACTGAAGTGAGGCGCGCAGCCGGCAGCCTGAAGGTACAGAGTATCCATCTGTAGAAGGCCCTGATCATTTTGACCTGAATGTTTTATTTTGGAAATATCAAATGTACAGAGAATGGTACAATGAACGCCTGTACTCAACAACTAACACTTCACTCTCTTTGCGTTGGGCTTTCCTGGTGGCTTAGTGGTAAAGAATCTGCCTGCCATTTCAGGGCACAGGATTAGATCCCTAAATCCAAAATCCCCTGGAGAAGGAAATGGCAATCCGCTCTAGTATTCTTGCCTGCAGAATTCCACGGACAAAGGATCCAGGTAGGCTTCTGTAGCCCATGAAGTCACAAGAGTCAGACATTACTGAGCAACTAAACAACGTTTGCCTTCTCTCTCTATACATACTGAGAAACATTTTTAAAGTTGTAATCATCAAAATACTCATTCCAAATATTTCTATATGTATCTTTTAATAATAATAATCTCAACACTAACAATACCACCATTACAGGTAGGAAAATTAACAAAAATTCCCTAATATCATCTATCATCAGTCATTTTCAAATTTCCAATTGTCCTAAAATATAGACTTCATTGTTTTTCCAAGTCAGTTTCACACATTGTATTTGGTATGGCTGTTTAGTTTTGATTTGCTTTTTAGTATGAATTTACAGATTCACAGGAGTTGCAGAGATAATAACTTTCAACTAGTTTCCACCAATGGGTACATCTTACATAATTATAATTTAAGATAAAAATCAGGAAACTGACACTGGTACAATGTGTGTGTACTTGTCATTTTATCACGTGTAGATCTGTGGAACCACCATCACAATTCACATACACAATGCTTCCAACACCAAGACCTCCCCAAGTGTAACCCCTCCCTCTTCTGCTGCTCCATCCCTCCATCCCCAACCTCTGGCAACCACTAATCTGGTTTTTCATCCCTGTACTTTTGTTATTTTAGAGTATTATATAAATGTGACCATACAGTATATGACCTCTCGAGATTGGATTTTTTCACTCAGCATAATTCTCTTGGAATACATTTGAGTCACTGCAGATATCAATAGGTCATTCAATTTTACTGCAGAGTAATAAGTATTCCATGGTATAGATATATTGCAGTTTCTTTTAAATACCTGTTGAAGGATATTTGATGAGTTATTACAAATTACTATTAATAAAACTGCTTTTAACAATCACATACAGGCTTGTGTGTGTAACAGGGGCTTTCATTTTTTTTGAGATGAATGCTCAGAGTGCAAATACTAGGTGATATGGTTAAATGAATGTTTGGTTTTATAAGAAACTGCCAAATTATTCCAGCACAGTGGCTGTACTATTTCTCATTCCTGGCAATGTAATAGATTCAGTTCCTTTGCATCCTTGCCAGCACTTGGTGTTAAAATATTTAAAAGCTCTTCTGATAGCTGTACAGATTATCTTGCAATTCCCTAGTGGCTAATGATGTTGAGTATCTTTTCACTTGCCAATCTATACTTTGGTAAAATAACCTGTTCATGTCCTTTGCCCATATACTAATTGGATCTATTTATTATTGCTGAGTTTTGAGAATTATCTAGCCTAGATACAAATTCTGTGTTGGATATATGATTTGCAAACACTTTCTCCCAGAGTGTAATGCCTTTTCATCCTCTTTAGAGCCTTTTGCAGAGAAAATTATTTTTTTGATGAGGTTCAATGTATCACTTTTTTCCTTTTTTGCAGCATGCTTTTGATATGTTTAAGATTTCTTTGCTTAGTCTTACTGATTTTTTCTTTTTGAATATGGCTATGCAATTGTTGCAGCAGCATTTGTTGAAAGGCTATTCATCCTCTCCTGAAGTGCTTTTGCACCTGTCAAAAATCATTTGGGCATTTGTGAGTCTATTCCTGGCTCAGTATCTTACGGCTCTTTAGTATCTTTTAAACCACCCCCCCGCCCCCACTTGTATCTTTCATTATGGAAAATTTCATACATATACAAAAGTAGTACAGTAAACTCTCAATACTCACCGAGCATCAACAATTATTATCACCCCCTTCTCTTTTTCATCATCTTTGAAGAATCCAGTGCAGTGGCTTTTTATTTGGATGCACTGCCCAGTTTGTAGGATCTTAGTTCCTCAACTGAATTAAGGATTGAATGTTCGCTCTCCGCAGTGAAAGCAGAGGCCTCACCACAGGGCAGCCAGGGGATTCCCGCAGGGGTTTTCCTAGACAATACGCCACATTCTGAACTTGTTTCTTATGATGTCTTTTATCTTGTTCCTTTGCCTCCTATATTTCCTGTAAACTAGCAATCAGGCCTAAGAAGCTTGATAAATTCAGGTTATACTTTTGGCTTATTGCATTACATGTGGTGGGAGGCACATGATGTGACTTGTCTCAGCAATGTTACATTTTGTTAAACTGATTAAGAGGTAAATGCCAGATCTCTCCATTGTTAAAGTACATGTGATTATTACATAATTGGGGTAATTTTTCTTCAGTATGGACATAAAGCATCTTCATATTCATTACCCCATAACAACTTAGGGAGGTAGATAGTCTTCCATTTAACAGATGAAGAAACCAAGGCTCCAAGAAATGAAACCATTCGTCCAAGGAAAAGTGGTAGAATCTGACTCTACGGCCTTCAGACTTTTAACCCAGGCCCCTTCCAGTTTTCACTCTTGGTCCTTTCAGTCTAAAAAGGAACCAGCCCTTAAAGAACTTCGGGGTTGAATTCATAACACTTACTATAATTAACATACCACTGCAATGCTGCTAAATATCAGGAAACAAAATCCCAATATTAAGGTATTTATACTTCAGTGACAGAACTAGTGTTCTGAGAATTACAACATAAAATTACCAAACCAAGAATACATGAAGAATTAAGTTTACAAATGTACAAAAAGGGTACAAAATGAATGAATGATTGGTTCACTGGGAGTAAATGGGCCTGACCACTCAGAGATGGATTCTGAATTGGTATAATCAGAGATTTGAAGAGCTTGGCTATGTAAAAAAACTTATGTGGTAAGTTGAGTGCTGGGATAGGATGTTGTTTCTTGAGTAGCAAGCCATTTGTATGTCACCAACAAAATATTGATTAGAAGTGACAATGACACTTGCAGAGATAATCAGCCCTGGGGTTGAGGTTAAGGATTTTTCCCTATCAGCAAGGGAAGTGAGACAGGACTGTCCTATTTTGACACTCTACATCTGCTAGGTTTAAAATTCAAAGGTTTAAAAATAAACTTTTTTCTTGGCATCAAATTAATGGTCAGACATTATTTAGTAAGCCAATATTTTTTTCCATAAAAACAAACTAGGTATGTTATGTATTATCTCCATTAAACATTTAAAAAGCTGTTTTTAAAGTTTTTTTAGAGTACTAAATTCCAAAGTTAACCATCCACCATACCTCCTCTTACAATAAAAATTAAACTTTTGAGGTTCATGAAGTCCTAATATTAACTTGATGAACAAACACTACATTATGCCATTTTCCAGATTTTGACCACATCTCTTTTATCCAACTTTATTGACGATTAAATTATTTCATAAAGTACTTTCATGTGATCCTTTTACGAAATGCTCAAAACAATTCTCTGAAGTAGGGGTTATGCCAGTATTTGACTGACAGAGAAACTGAGACTTAGAGACTGACTTAATAACATCACAGAGCTCGTAAGTGAAAGAGCCAGGATCCAAACCTAGGTTTTCAGATTCCAAATCCAGTGTACTTAAATTGTCCTCAAAGAGCAGTCCTGCCCACCCAACTTCATGTTTTGTATGTCTTAATCACACTGTCTGCACAGACATTCTCTAGAGTGATACTATCTTTAAGATGTACCATATATACGTATCTTCAAAACATACACTTTTTAATCCAAAGATATTTTTGTTTTCATTTACAACATCATCATTATATCTTATAAATCATAATTCAGTTTCTTCAGAATCTTTAAGTGCTTCAAGGTCCTTTTCTAGGTTCATAAGAAATGATTTGGAACTGAGTATCCTTTAACTAGAATTTGGCTTATGTTTTCACAGTCTTGGAAGTCTAGATGAACTTTCTGCCTCATGCAACATATTTGTCTACAAAAGGGTCAATCATGACTTTTTTCCCTTATAAAAACCATATGCTGCCATTTATCCAACAGTCACTTACAGAGGCAGGGATGCTATTCCATTTTACACAATACTAGATTTTTTGAATCTTGATCTTGGACTCACTGGCATTTTGGACCCAAGAGAATTTGGACCCGAGAGAATAGGACCTAAAATCCTCCAAAGAATGGATTTTTTGTTGAAGATGAAGGTTTGAAGTCTGAGAGAATTCTTTTTCAGACTCATCACATTCACAGTTTTTTTCATCTGTATGAATTTTCTGATGTACAGTCAGGTTTTTTCTTTGCCTAAAAACTTTACTACAGTCATTACAACCATATGGTTTCTCTCCTGTGTGGATTCTCTGGTGACCAACTAAATTCCTCTTAGAAGTAAAAGATTTTCTACACTTTTCACATTCATATGGTTTTTCCCCAGTGTGCATTCTCTGATGTACAACAAGGTTTTTGTTCTGACTAAAGTCTTTTCCACACTCACTACATTTATAAGGTTTTTCTCCAGTATGGATTCTTTGATGCACCATAAGATTTCTACTAGAGGTAAGCACTTTCCTACATATATGACATTCATAGGTTTTTTCTCCACTGTGAATTCTTTGATGCTCAATAAGATTTCTATTATAAGTAAAGCCCTTCCCACACTCATTACATGCATAGGGCTTCTCACCAGTGTGGATTCTCTGATGGGCTATAAGGTTGGAGCGGTAACTGAAGACTTTCCCACAGTCATTACATTTGTAAGATTTTTCCCTTGTGTGAATCCTCTGATGTCCAATGAGGCTTTTCTTCAGAATGAAGCATTTGCCACACTCATTACACTCATATGGTTTCTCACCACTGTGGATTCTCTTATGTTCAATGAGGTTTCTGTTAGAACTGAAAGCTCTTCCACATTCACTGCATTCGAAGGGCTTTTCCCCGGTGTGGATTCTCCGATGTACGAGCAGGCTTGAATTGTAACTGAAAGCCTTCCCACAATCCTCACATTTGTAGGCCTTCTCTTGTGTATGGAGCTTCTGATGGACCATGAAACTTTTGCTCATAATGAAGGTTTTCCCACACTCTCGACATTCATAAGGCTTCTCCCCATTGTGGAGTCTCTCGTGGTCAATGAGGTTTCTATTAGAACCAAAGACTTTGCCACAGTCTTTACATTCATAGAGATTCTCTCCAGTGTGGAACCTCTGATGTAAAATGAGGCTCTTTTTCAGAATGAAAACTTTCCCACATTCATTACATTCGTAGGGCTTCTCCCCATTGTGGAGTCTCTGATGATCAAAAAGGTAAGCACTCTGAGTGAAGGCTTTCCCACATTCAGTACATTTATAAGGCTTCTCTCTGCTATGCATCCTCTTATGATCAATGAGACTTGACTTAGAAGTGAAAATCTTCCCACATTTTTTACAACCAAAAGTCTTCTTTTCTGTGTGAACTCTCTGGTGTAGGAGGAGGCTTTTGCTTCGAATGAAAACTTTTCCACATTCTTTACATTTATATGGGTTCTCTGTACTGTGGAGCCGCTGATGGTCAACCAGGTAAGTGGTCTGGGCAAAAGTTTTTCCACATTCATCACATTTATAGGGTTTTTCCCCAGAGTGGATTCTCTGGTGCAGAATGAGGCTCTTCTTCAGAATGAAAGCTTTCTGACATTTGTTACATTTATAAGGTTCTTCTCCTTTGTGGAGTCTCTGGTGGTCAATGAGGTAAGCATTCTGAGAAAAAACTTTGCCACACTCATTACATTTATAGGGTCTCTCCCCAGAATGGCGTCTTAGATGTATAATAAGGCCTGAGTGCCTATAGAAGCCCTTTCCACACTCCTTACATTTATAAGGTTTCTCCCCAGTGTGGATTCTCTGATGGTTTAGAAGGTAAGCACTCTGAGAGAAGGCTTTCCCACATTCATTACATTTATAAGGTTTCTCACCAGAATGGTTTCGTAAGTGCATTAGAAGGCTTGAGCGCTGAATAAAGCCTTTTCCACACTCCTTACATTTATGAGGTTTCTCCCCAGTGTGGATCCTCCGATGATTTATAAGATGGGAGATTTTATTGAAATGTTTACAACATATATCACATTTATAAAGCTTCTTTCCTTCAGCACCTATTAAACTTTCAGAAAAAGCTGAATCTGAAGCCAAGCTTTCTTCAAATTCCTTCCACTTTTGGCCTCGTTTTTCTGGTGGAGTCCTTTTTTTCTTGTCTCGTTCACACAGGGAACCTTTCTTCAGTATATCTCTTTCCCTTGCTTCATTTCCCCACTGACTTGAAAAAACTTGCCATTCACACTCTTCCTCAAAGTCAAGAAGCTGGGGAACACCTCCTTGAAATCTATTTGATATTCCTCTCTGAGAATCTGCTCTTTGAGATATGCTCAACTTGGATGTCACCTCCTCATTCTCAGTCATGGTCTCCCATTCTGGTAAAAGAAATTAAAAATGCAAATATTACCATATCCCTGTGTCAGCAACAACAAGATCTTCAAAAGACTTTGAAACAACTAGAAGGATACTTTTACACGCATACAAAAATGAAAAGCTTTTCATTAAATGCGAGTACAAAGCAGAATGCTACACTGACAGAATGTTGTAAATGGATTAACAGAGAATTCATTCTGAGAACTTCTAAGCTCTTTGCCTTCTGGGAGCAGATGGAAACATAGAAAGGATGTTGAATAAACAGATGCAAGAAGAACTAGAGAAGGATCTTAATACAGGTGGTTCATGAAGCTGGATGGGGCTTATAAAGAACTATCTTTTTTTTTCTTCTTCATGCTAAGAAGATGGGAACTCTCAAAGAAAGAAAATATACCTAAAAACTCTGAAGGCCATCTTTAACTTTTGAAGAGTCAAGTGCATTAACATTTTTTAATTACTTGAGAGTAATTAATCTACAGGAAAAAATCTATTGAAAAGCAACTTAACACCTCAAATTCTTCTTTTAGAATTGAGAAATGGAAATTTTAAAATTAATATCACAAAAATATCAGGTCTACATTAGACTCCATCATGTAGTTATATATAAAAAATACTGAATGAAAGGAAAAAATATAGAGGCATTAAAAACTATGAAAACATTTATAAAATAATGAGGCTGAACTAGTTAACCTCTTTACGACTCTAATATTCTCAAATACTTTAAGATATGAAATGATGTATATTTTAAATGTTTTGGAAACTTATTTTCACCATCCAAATGTGAGAAAAATTATGAACTAGTTCCCCAAATTATCTAATCAATAAAATTATATAAATAATAATAACACTATCTTCTATTTGAGTATAAAAACAGTATTCTTCTACCTAAACAGAGAGAAAATACATAGGAAAGGAGCATTAACAGACTGGTTTTACATTTCAATGTATGACAGAAACCACTGCAATGTTGTAAAGTAATTAGCCTCCAACTAATTAAAAAAAAAAAACAGACTGGTTTTACAATTTAAGCAGAATGCTGGTTGAAAGGAAAGTTTTCTTTCTTTAAGGAAGTAGAAGCATTTTAAGAAACAGAAGTGTTGCAAGTGGTTAAACAGAAATGGAAAATGGTTAAGAAATGAAGGACTCATATATACACTAGCTAATTAGCTGGATAAATGAAATTTTAGTATAGAAATCAGATTGTGGGCCTAATGAGCTTTAAGGGACTTGAGCTGATTATTTTCTGCAATCTTTGGTTAAGCAGGCAAGAAAAAGACAGGATTCCCTAGCTCCAATCCTCCCCAGTCCTCTAATCCATGTCCACTCCATTGCTAATTATCTTTCCAATATGTATATTTGATCATATCACTCACCTGCTCAAAACAAACAATGCTTCATTGCCCAAAGGATAATGTACAAATGACAAGAACAGCCCAAGAGATGCTATCCTCCACTATCTGCTATTTTTCTGGCTTCACTTCTTATTAGTACCCTTTATGCCTATAGACTCTAGGCATGGAAAACTATGTACAGATGCCCAAACATGTCATGTTTTTGCTTGCTTCTCTATCACTGCCCATGCCTCTTTCGCTTCCTGAATTTGCTCTTCCTCTTCCCAATTTGCTACCTGCCCAAACTTACAGGCTTAAAAACTAAGTACAAAAGCCACCCTCATTGGAATTACCACTGATCTTACAGGGGAAAAAAAAAGTTTAAGGGAATACCATGAATGAGTCTGTGCCAACTAAACAACTTAAGATGAAATGGCCAAAAAAAAAAAGAAAAAGAAATGGCCAAATTTCTAAAAAGACACAATGCACTTAAAATCAACTCAGGATGACAAAGAAAATCTGAATAGTTCCATAATAAGCAATGAAATAGAATCAGTAGACAAAAAACTACACACAAAGAAAAGCCCAGACCCAAACTGTTTCATTGATGAATTCTACCAAACATTAAAAGAATGAAATACCAATTCTTCACACACTCTTCTAATAAACAAAAAAGGTGGGAACACATCCCAATTAATTCTATGAGGCCAGTATTACCTACATACTAAAAGCAGATAAAGATATTACAAAAACAGACAAAACTACAAACAGCCATATCTTTATGAATAGAGACATAAGAATCCTCAATCGGGGTTTCCTGGTGGTTCAGTAGTAAAGAATCTGCCTGCCAATACAACAGACATGGGTTCAATCCCTGGTCTGGGAAGATACCACATGCTGCAGAAAAACTAAGCCATATCTACTGAGCCTGTGTTCTAGAGTTCAGGAGCCGCAACAACTGAAGCCTGCACACCCTAGAACCTGTGCTTTGCAAGAGAAGCCACCACCATGAGAACCCCATGCACTGTAACTAGAGAGCAGTTCCTGCTAGCCACAACTAGAAAAGAGCCCACGCAGCAATAAGGAACCAGCACAGCCAAATAAGTAAAATAAAAGCAAAAAAAAAAAGAAAAGAATCTCAACAAAATATTAGCTGACTTCAGCAACACATAAAAAGAATTCTACACCATGACCAAGTGGGATTTATCACAGGAAGGCAAATATTGGTATAACATCAGATAATCAATTAATGTAATACATCACTGTGCTTAGCGCTGAAGAATTGATGCTTTTGAACTGTGATGTTGGAGAAGACTTTTGAGAGTCCCTTGGACTGCAAAGAGATCCAACCAGTCCATCCTAAAGGAGACCAGTCCTGAGTGTTCATTCGAAGGGCTGATGCTAAAGCTAAAACTCCAATATTTTGGCCACCTGATGCAAAGAACTGACTCATTTGAAAAGACCCTGATGCTGGGAAAGATTGAAGGGGAGAGGAGGGGATGACAGACCCTGATCCCTGATGCTGGGAAAGATTGAAGGGGAGAGGAGGGGATGACAGAGGATGAGATGGTTGGATGGCATCACCGACTCAATGGACATGAGTCTGGGTAAACTTCAGGAGTTGGTGATGGACAGGGAGGCCTGGAGTGACGCAGTCTATGGGGTCACAATGAGTCAGACATGACTGAGCGACTGAATTGAACTGAAAGAAGCAACCAAAAAACTACCCGAACCAAGTAGGTTCAGCAAGGCTGTAGGATAAATATTAATATACAAAAAATTAGTGTGCTTCTGTACCATAGCACTGAACAATCAAAAAAAAAAAGAAATCATGTTAATAGCATCTGGGATTTCTTTGGCAGTCCAGTGGTTAGGATTTGGTGTTTTCACTGCTGGGACTCAGGTTCAGTCTCTGGTTGGGGAACTAAGATTCCTACAAGCAGTATGGCCCTTCCCCACAAAAAAGTCACTTCCCTCTGTAAATCTTTCTCTAAACCACCCACCTCTCCTCCTACTCTCCCAGTACTTTCATCATACTAAGCTCCTATGTGCTCCCACACTTATGCATACTCTTATTATATAGCATTTGTTACACTGTATTGTACTTATTTTTGTAAATGTCTGTCAATTCAACTTGAATGTACTTTAAGGCAGAGATTAAGCTTGATGTATGAGATACTTACTATTTCTTGAATAACTGCCTTTAAATTCTATTCCAATCTCTTAAATGAACATTTACAATTCTTTTACATATTGAAGAAGTATGTGCAAGCTATTTGGGAGTTTGCTCTTTTTTTAAAAAGTTATTTTTTGGCTTTGCTGGGTCTTCACTGCTGCTTGGGCTTTTCTCTAGTTGTAGCGAGCAGGGGCTACTCTCTAGTTGCAGAGTGTGGGCTTCTCAATGTGGTGGCTTCTCTTGCTGCACAGCACAAGCTCTAGGGTGTGTGAGCTTCAGTAGCTGTGGCTCCCAGGCTCCAGAGCACAGGCTCAATAGTGATGGCGCACTGCCTTAGTTGCAGCATATGAGATCTTCCCGGACCAGGGATCGAACCCATGTCTCCTGCATTGGCAGATGGATCCTTTAGCACAGAGCCAACAGGAAAGCCCTGAAGTCTGCTTTTCTACCAGCTTATCAATGCACAGAAACTGAGTACATAAAACTGTCAAATTTGATAATGTCACAGTCTACTCCCAGGTCAGAACACCATGGGCTACGTAGTACTTTATCTGAGGAAATTTGGTTGTTCCCAAATTTTAATCATTGTCAATTCTTTGCTGGGACTGCCTTTAGACATATTGCTTATTTTCCCTCTTTCTGAACCATTTCCTTAAGGTATCCTCCTCAAATCAGTACTACTAGGTCAAAGAACATAAGTACCTTGGTATCTGCTTGCCCAAAGCCCCAACAACACTGCAGTTAGAGCATATCTTACTTCTTCAAATTGATTCAAACTTCTTTTTCCTCAAAGAGCTAGAATAAATATGGAATTCTATTTTCTCATTTTTTAAGTTTAACCTTTATTTAGACCCATCTGGAATTTATTCTGACTTACAGCATAAGCTATGGATCCATGATAAGTGTTCTTCATAAAATTAATTAACCCATAAAACACGTTTTAAAATTTGTAAAAAGAAAGATGGGTTATATAGTAAATCACATTAGAACTACTGAAAATCATGTGGATTAAACAAAAAAGTGAGCAAACAAATTGGATTCCTAGGTCATTCTGCATAAATATAACAATGAAACAATGAAAATGTCTGAATAAAATACGTATGATTTAAAAAATAGTATTTTTATGGAGAAATACACCATAAAGGAAAATATTGCTGTTTGAAAGATTTTCTAAGACTTAAACTCATAACCAGCACAGAAAGGCAAACAAATGGGAAAATGTACAACATGTGACAAAGGGTTGCCAGTTCTAATAAACGAAAGAAATATGAAGAAAGAATATGAATAAACATAAAATAACAATAAGCATAATAACACTAATAATCAAAGAAATGGAAAAAGAAAAACCAAAGGATAGGATCCTTCATCTAGCTAGCCAAGATTTGAAAGTGACCAAATCACAAGCACATAGAGGGGAAATAGGCCCTCTGAGGCTCTTTGTGTGGATGTATAAATTGGTAAGATATTGACAGAAAGCAGTTTAGGAATATATATCAAAATATCAAATCTACAAAATATTTGACCATCATACCACAGCTGAGATACTAAAAGACATATCCTCATAAATGTAAAAATATACAGTATAAATTACTATGAACAATAAAAAAAATTTACTAAGGTTGCTAAGTACAAAATTAATGTACAAAAATTATGCAAACTGATTAGAAAATACCAGAAAAGATTCCTATTCCAAAGAGCCAATGTAACCAGAGTTATGTAAGATCTACCTGAAGGCACTTTTAAAACAGGCCTGAATCAGACAAAGGCAGCATGAACAAATGTAATGATATACAATGTTCTTAAATAAAATTCAGTATCATAAAGCCGACACTGTAAAGAATGATACTCAGACAACGAAATGCAAAGCTACCTCCTTCACGGCCTTTTCCAACTCCCAGGAAAGGTACAGGCTGCTTTGTCCTCTTCACTTCCATCTCAAGAGACTTATGCCACTCTAATTCCAATTATTTCACTCTGCCTTGCTTATTCTTTTTCATCTCCCAAATCATGCTACTTAAGGGAAGAATCACATCATTCCCATAGTTGCCATTACATGGCAGGTGTTTAATATTTGTCAGAAACATAAATGGCTAACAGGTTTTTTAAAAATACTCTTGTTATTAATCAAAGAAATGCACTTCAGAATAGACATTATAACTTAAAAAATTATATTAACAACAATTTAGAAGAGTGGGACTACTCAGCATCAATGAAGGTAGAGCCAAAGAAGTGGTTCTTGTGTATAGCTGGTAAGAGCATAGAGGACTGACATCAATATGGAAAGCAATTTGGCAGTAGGAAGCAAGAGCCTTAAAATAATTAATTTAGGCCTAGTGATTCTATTTCTAAAAAATAATGAGAAATTAAAAATAAAAAGAAACATTAAGCATAAAGATTATTATTACAGTAATCATCTAAAATACAGAAATGGCTAACTAAATTATGACACAAATTATGCAGCCAATACAGATAATGTTTGCTAAGAATGTGTGATAACACGAGTGAGGTAAATACAAAGAAAGCAAGCTATAAAACTGTACATATTCACAGACACACACACACTCAAAACAATGTAAAAAAAATCCTCTCAAATACACAGAAAAAGCCAGAAACGTAAAATATCAAAATTTTGAGGGTAAAATTTTGTTTGTAAAGAGTCAGTTTAAAAAATTTTTTCCTTTGAGTATTTTTCAAAATAAGTATGCTACACTATGTTCATAATTAGCGTAGCAAAAAGTCACACAAAAGCTGGGACTTCCCTGGTGGTCCAGTGGTTAAGAATCTGCACTTACACTGCAGGGAGTCATGGGGATGTAAAAAGAAAAAAAAAAGAAAACTAAACAAATGCTGATGAAGAAAAGGTACAAATTATGGGAAGAAAGGGTCCTTACCTAAGGAAGTCACATTTCCGTAATTCTCCAGCATCACATCCCAGTACAAGGCCCTCTGAACTGGGCTCAAACATGCCCATTCTTCTGAAGTGAAGCATACTGATACCTCCTCAAACATCACCAATTCCTGAAATGACAGGTATGTGTGAGATTATCCATGCCCAGGAAGCTCCCCTGCTGAAGGGTTCCTTTCACTTTTGGGGAAGAGACATGTTATGAGGGCATGAGGTGGGCTATTAGAGAGACACAGGAGACCCCACATGAACTCTGCCCTCCAAAGAAGGGGCCTTGATTCAAAGATGGGAGCTGACTGGACACCCAAGCACTAGGATGAGTGAGTGTACGTTTGAGCCACAATTAGGTAGTGCAGACAGGGCCTTAGGAAGAAAAGAGGTCGCAAATCTTACCTGGGGCTGGGCTGTCAAGAGCATGAGAGCCATTAATTGATTTCTGGGGTTCTCTTCCTGGGAAAGGGCAGAAGCTTCAGGGGAAGGAGAATCTGAAGGAGAAAAAGCTGCATATAAGGTAACTGTCATTCCTGTCCAAATCCAGTTAAGTTTATCTTCTATAAAAAAGGAGTTCAGAAAGACATATAAGTACCAGAACTAGGCAATAATGGCTAGAAAATGACACACAGATCTTTTCTGACCCCCATGTGCATGGCTGGAAAAGTGCAAAAATTAGTAATAAGAATGGATAAAGGGTCAGAGGGACCCAAGAAATGACACGAGGGAGAAAAGAAAAGAGTTTGGTATCAAGGGACTCATAGAACGGCAGAAGAGGAAGTAGTTATCTGGGAGTAAGGAGGTGAGACCCAGCATGAGTCCTGAGGATGTCCAAAGCCAGACCCACAGAGTAAGTTACCATGTTGAGGATCCTGGAGCAAGCCGAACACCACTGGGTCAGTAAGAGAACTTGAGCGAATTTCAGCTGATATGTGGCTGCCAGTGGGTGCATGAGGAAGTGCTATTCCTGGAGTACTCAGACCCTCCTGGAGAGTGTCCTGGTCCTGGACAAAGGCTGGAACCTGGGAACAAGCAGAACGCAATAAACTGACTCTCCCTGTACCTCCAGCAAATGAACTCACCTAACCACCATGGACCTCTTTCTGCCCATATAGTCTAGAATGGTGAGATGAGAGTGACCCACCTCAAGCATGGAGCATCAAAACAGCAGGAAAGCTTTGCCTTGAGAACAATGGAGCTGCCCTCTAGACCCACTCATGGCACTGGTGACCTTTCCCAGAGGAGACTGAACAGAACAGTAGAAACAGAAGCCAGACCTGGGTGTGGGTTAAGGAGGGAATGGGAAGTAACAAGCAATTAAGAGCTTCAGACTTAATCTAAAAGTCTTCAGCTTCAGGTTTAATCTAAAACACTGGGTTCTACTTATTCACACCTTTTCTCATTCCCACCTGCTCCAACAGAAGGAACGCTAGAAGTCTAGACATCTGGTTTTGCTGCTAACTAGATGTCTCACAAAAGCAATGCAGTGAACCTTTTCCTGCCTCCATTTTTAACCTCTTGAATGAGAACAACGGCTTAGTGATTAGCAATGAAAAACACAGCTCTGAAATTCTTCATTTTCACGATTAAAACAAACAAGCCCATCCTTGATATCCCTCCCAAATTACATTTCAGACTTTTCATATAGAAATGTTTCTAGTGGGCTCTAGATCAACAGAAAGATATCTGACACATATTAGAAACCATGTTAAGATCCCAATTTAATAGCCAAGGATATAAAATCTTATCAGAGGCAAATATCTCAACCCAATCTCTTGTCTCACACAGTCCCCAGTAGGGCAACACATGGAGTGGTCTTTCCAGATCTAGAAAGCTTCATTCTTGCTCTCCCACAACTTTCCATACTCCAGGTTTACAACACCAATCCAAACAGACTTTACAAACAACATACTTGCTTCTGTTTAGAGGAGCTCTTATGAACATTATGTTCTTCAGATTCTTGAATCAAACTCAGAATTAGAAAGCATCACCCAGGGAGACAAAGCAGAGTCAATGCTCTGTGTTGATTCTGAATTGGTCCAAAGATCCCAACCATAAATCCATTTCTCCAGACAGATATTCTATGGTCTGAAGAGTTCATGAACCTGTTTTAATCAGCATAAGGGTTGCTGCTGTGTTACTGTTAATGAAAATCACAGGATCATCTTCTACCCCAGCCTGTCCTGGGCCTACTCCCCACTTCCCCTTTCTCACTTTAAATGCTGGTCCATCAAGGTCTTTCTGCAGCTCTTCTACCAGGGCCACGGCCTCCTCACCACTCCCGGGGCGATGGATCTGCACCCAGGTCCGTATCTCCCCAGGCAGGATGCTGAGGAATTGCTCCAGCACCAGCAGCTCCAGGATCTGGGCCTTGGTGCGTGCTTCTGGCCTCAGCCACCGGCGACAGAGCTCCCGGAGCCGACTCAGTGCCTCCTGGGGTCCAGATGTCTCATGATAACGTAACTGTCTAAAGTGCAGGTGGGAGGTCTCCCAAACAGTGGAGCTACTCCCTTGGAAGCTGGTTCCCCACTTCCAGGTATCATCCTTCCCTTTAACGAGGCCCTCTTGTCGCAGAGCACTGTGGGCCCAATTTTCTCTTGTCATTGTTGCCATTTAAGACAGACGCCTCTCCGGGGTCCCTCAATTCTTGCTTGACTTCTTCCTTAAAGCTTGAAGAACATCATCTATAAGACCTAAAAAAATCATTGTTAAAGTTAGCCCAGAGACACAGTCAGATCTTCCGCACCCCGATTAGCCCCCGGTAATGAAGAAACCTTGCCAAATGCAGAGTTCTAGATTCTGGGCAGTTTCTCCTTTGACGGAGGCCCCAGCCCAAGGCTCTAGGGACATTAATATTCATGTTATCCAGACCATTGCTGATATCAAAAACATGAAATTCCTTTTTTTTCCTTGCCATGACGCATGTGGGATCTGAGTTCTGCAACAAGGGACTGAACTTGCACCCCCTGAATTGGAAGCCCAGAGTCTTAACAACTGGACCACCATGAAAGTCCAATATCAAATACCCCTTAATCATTATTTTTAAGAGTGTATCAGTCCACTCATACTTAAGTAATCCACTGCCGTTGGATGTTTAATTATTTATAATTTTCTCCTATTACAAATTAAGCTACAATGACCATCTTTGCTAAAGAATTTTTGGTTATATTTCTGCTTATTTCTTCAGGAAAAATCTCCAGAAAAGAAATTGTTTAGCAGAAAGGTAGGAATAGTTTACACTTTTAAGGCTGTAACAGTTACATCTCTATCAGTGACATATCTGGATGCCCCATTAATTTTATTTAACAAGTGGACCCTTAAAGTTCATGCTTAGAGCAGAGGAGAGCAAAATAAAATATAATCTCAATACAAAGTCCAAGTACAATTAACAGGAGGACAAACAAGCACAGTAAGAATTCATGGAGGTAATTTAGGGTTGGGCTTTAAAGAAAAAATAAAAAGATCACTGGAATGTTAAGAAAGCCATTCCAGGAAGAAACTGTAATTTCTAAAGCAAGGGAGTGACACCACATATAGCTCTGTTAGAAATGTTCTGTGCAAATCAGAGAAAGGAAGAAAACTTTGAGATAAGGTTGTAGAACTAGAGTGAAGAGGTAAGTAAACAGAAGCAAATGCTAAAGGCAACTAAGAGGTAGCCAAAGGTACCCCAAGTAGCCAGAGTGGCATTGCCAAGCCCATTCCATAGGAACTACACTCAGTATCTCAGCATTAAGCCACCATGGACTTAACCTGTGTCTGTGAGCATCTGTGCTTTATCCAGTTTTACTTTGTGTATCTGTTAGTAAGATGTGTTCCAAGGGAACTGCTCCTTTGCTTTACACCATTTGAGCTTATGAAGGTTTCATAAGAACACTATTTTCAGATATTAGGGGAAACCTGTAGTCTAAGCAAATAAAGTTCTAAAGTATTAGTAGGGATAGAACACTTGAAAAAAGAAACTGAGCAGTTCTTTGGTCACTGACCTGGGGGTGATGGAAAGGAATTTTAAAAAACTATTTCTATCCCATGCTCACAGCTAGAAAGAGTACTGTCAAAATTCCAGTTCTTCTCAACTTTATCTATAGAGTCAATGCAACTCCAATAACTCACCAAGCTATTTCATAGGTATCAACAAACTGATTCTAAAGTTCACAAAGAGAGGCTACAGACCCAGAATAACTAACACAATACTGAAGGACTTCTCCCTCAGTATCATGAAGTTGAGGGACTGACATTACTCAATACTACCCAGAGTTGAGGGACTGACACTACCTAACATCAAAACATTCTAAAAAGTTACAGTTATGAAGACAGTGCAGTATTGGCAAAGTGCAGACAAATCAATAAAATAGAATAGAAAGTCCAGAAATAGACCCACATGAATACAGTCAACTGATCTTTGATAGAATTAAGGTGATATGATGGAACAAAGACAGTCTTTTCAGCAAATGGTGCTGGTACAACCAGATAGAGGCTATGCAAATGGTGCTGGTACAACCAGATATTTACATGCAAAAACAATCAATCTAGACACAAACTTTACATATTTCACAAAAATTAACCCAAAATGGATCAGAGACCTAAATACAGAACTATAAAAGTCCTGGAAGATAACCTAGAAGAAAACCTAGATGACCTTGGGTATGGTGACAGCTTTTTAGATATTCAAAGGCACGATCCTTGAATGAAGTAAAAGGCAGACTTCATTAAAATTCAAAAATTCTGCTGTGGAAAAAGCAGTGTCAAGAATGAGAAGACACCCCATAGACTGAAAGAAAATACTTGCAAAAGACACACATACTTTGATAAAAGCCTAATATCCTTCCTTTGTATATTTCAAACAAAGAACTCTTAAAACTCAACAATTAAGAAAACAAACAACTCAATTAAAATATGCCCATGGGGGCTTCTCTGGTGATTTAGTGGTTAAGAATCCACCTGCCAATGCAGGGGACACAGGTTTGATTCCTGGTCCAGGAAGATACCACATGGTGAGGAGCAACTAAGCCCTTGCAGCGCAACTACAGAGGCCACGCACACAGAGCCCCTCCTCCACGAGAGAAGCAACCGAAATGAGAAGTCCGCACACCACAATGAAGAGTAGCTCTGACTTGCCTCAACTAGAGAAAGCCTGAGCACAGCAACAAAGACCCAGCACAGTCAAAAATAAATAAATCTTTTTTTTCAATGACCCAAAGGAGAATTCCCTGGCAGTCCAGTGATGAAGACTTGGAGCTTCTACTGCTGGGGGCCCAGGTTTAATCCCTGGCCAGGGAACAAAGAGCCATAAGCCCCATCGTGGCCAAAATAAGAAGATAAAATATGGCCCAAAGACCTAAACAAACACATCACCAAAGAAGATATACAGATTTCAAATAACTGCATGAAAATATGCTCTGCATGATATATTTCATCAGGGAAATGCAAGTTAAAACAATGAAATACCATTACATACCTATTAGAATGGCCAAAATCTAGAACACTAGCAACACCAAACGCTGGTGAAGATGTGGGACAACAGAAATTGTCATTCATTGGTAGGAATGCAAAATAGTACAGCCACTATGGAAGACAGCTTGGCCCTTTCTTACAAAACTAAACATACTCTTACCATAAATTCTAGCAATCGTGCTCTTCAGTATTCATCCAAACGAACTGAGACATACATCCACACAAAAACCTGCACATGGATGTTTTAGCAGCTTTATTCATAACTGTCAACACCAAGAATCAACCAAGATATACTTCAATGGGTAAACAGATAAACTGGTACATCCAGAAAACAGAATATTATTCAGTGTTAAAAAGAAGCTATCACGCCACGAAAAGATACAAAGGAAACGTAAATGTATGTTACTCAGTGAAAGAAGCTAATTTCAAAGTCCAATATACTTTACAATTCCAACTACATGGCTTCTGGAAAAGGTAAAACTATGGGGGATTTTTTTTTTTTAATTGACCTACAGTTGGTATACAGTGTTAATTTCTGCTGTACAGCAAAGTAATTCAATTATACACATACATTCTTTTTTATATTCTTTTCCATTAAGGTTTATCACAGGATATTAAATACAGTTCCCTGAGTTATACAGTAGAACCTTGTTGTTTATGCATTCTATAAATACTAGTTTGTATCTGCTAACCCCAAACTCCCACTCTATCCCTCTAGTGGTGGGGGATGTTGATACTGGAGGAGGCTATGCAAATGTGGAGGCAGGGAACAAATGAGAAATTTCTGTATTTTCTGCTTAATTTTCCTATGAACCTAAAACTGTTCTAAAAAATAGGGTCTACAAATAAAACTTGGGGGGAAAAGAGACTTCTAAATAATTTTCTACAGTAAATTATCAGAATTTTATTTACTCTTACTTTGCAGAGATACAAATAAGAAATCCTTAAGCATACATTATGCTTGTTTTTCACAAAAGATTTGTAAGCACAGGTTAAAAAGAACAAAAGAAGTCTCCGAGGAGCTAAGCGATTCACTCAAGGCCACTCAACTAGTTCAGTTATGGGAGCAAATTCTGATCTCAGGGATTCTAACCCCAAAAGTACAAAATAACTGCATCTAAGAAAAGACTTCTGAAACACAAACAACTATTCTAAAGCAATGGTTTCCAAACAACAGTTCATTAAAACAATAACCATACACAGTCACTCACAGGTTGATAATGACCTTTCTTGCAAAAGACAGCATTTACTAAATTTGTACTTAATGTGAAAATAGATTCTCTGAGGCAATGGTGATATGCGTGGTCTAAGTTTGCTTCTTAAATACCATTACATTACAAAATTTAAAATGGAACTTGGTGTGGGGGGGATAAATGGGAAAACTGGGAATAATACATACACATTACTATATATAAAAAAGATAACTACTAAAGACATACTGTATGGCAAAGGTAACTCTAGTCAATACTCTGTAACGGCCTATACTGGAAAAGAATCAAGAGTGGATATATGTATAACAGACTCACTTGGCTGTACACCTACCTAAAACTAACATAAAATTGAAAACCAAGTATACGCCAATAAAATTACAAAGAAAAATGGGACTCAATCCATCCTTCAAGGGAAAAAAAAAAAAAAGATTCTGGGAGTCTCTGCTCCAGGGAAGTCTCAAGCTGTTTCTCAGCATCAGCCTCAGAAAAGACTAAGAAAAAAGCAGAAAGACTTGAGCTGAGAACCTGGCTACTGAGGTCGCTCTTCTCAAAGGGGCAGCACATTCTATTGACTCGACAGCCAATCCACAGACACACAGAGGCGCCGTCTTCAATGTATTCCCCAAGCCGCAGCCAAGGCGTCCATCTCAACCAAGCGGTGGAGGGACCGCCCTGGGGGTGAGGAGCAGAGAGGGGCCAGCGAGGGCTGAGCTGCCCTGGAGAGCTCAAGCCGCAACCCCGGCCGCCCTCCGCGCTTGCCAACCCGACCCGAGCCCACCCCGCTCACCGGGGTCTCCAGCGGCGGCTCCGGGCTTGGGGACCACCACCTTGGCGCCGGGACGCCAGGAGATGACACGAAAACTGGACGCGACGGCACCTGAAGCCCAGAATAATGGCTGACCCGCGGGTATAGCGACATCCGGTGCCTCACCCCACCTCCCAGTTTCGGCTCTCTAGGAAGCCACATCTCTATGGTTCCTAGCTTTCCCAGTGGTGGCAGGAAAGGCGGAGCTCCGGGGCTCTTAGGTCTT